CAGATAGTTTCCTAGTGCTGAGACATAATCTTTCGGGCCACCAGGGAGGCCCACAATGAGCAGATTTCTAAACAGGCATACAGGCTTCTCCAAATGCAAAAGTGCCCCTACAAAAACTTTCCCAGGCTGAAAGAGTGTAACGTGAGCCGCAATTATCATTCATTCCTATGGAAGAATTTTTGAGCGACCTCAGACCCGATTCAGACCAAAAAATAACCTACCATATCATATCCAATAGCATATAAAAGCCAAAATAACAGTAACGTATAGTAAAAGCAGGAATGATATGATACATACACAGCTTGTATGAGGAGTTCCCAGGAAAGCACAGTGGCAGGCCACTCTGGCGGCTCTAGGCTCTCCGCTGGCGACTGCAGCAAAGCAACACTGAGCGCCAGTTTCGCTTGCGACACTTGTCATAAAAGACAAAAACTCTTCGGATTTTCTTTTACTTAGTGAGAAGTGGCGTAACTCAGACTTTTAACAGGGAGATCTGTCTTATCTTCAACAATGTGGATGATTCCTAAATATTGTAGCTGGATATTTTACTTTCTTGTAGAGCGTAATTTATATATTCAAGCTTATCCACACAGGATCCAAACTCTCCATATATAAAATAAGCCAGTGATTTTTTTTTTCCTAAGAAAAAAAGAGGAATAAAGATAACATTTAAGACACTTTTCGTGAGGCTTTATATGTGTGTGTGTGTGTGTATACGTGTGTGTGTGTGTGTGTGTGTGTATGAAATATTACCAAAGTATCCTTTTCTGGAGAAGGAATGATAATGATGATGAGACTTAGGTCTAGATAGAATGGCTCTAATTCATTTAGGCTTGACAGATTTAAATTTCAAACCACCTCTGTGAGGATCCCTTTAGAGATGAGTTCCAGATTTCCTCTATATAAGTAGGTCAACTCAAAGTAACATATTCCTGTGTTTCTGCTACTGGAGGGGGAAAAAGTCTGTCGTGTGTTCTTCTAAAGTAAAACCCATACCAGTCGTCAATTGGATGACACAGAGCAGTCCTTAGTTGTTTCTCTTGTCCTCTTCTCTATTTTGAATCGACTAGGTTTCCTCTGTAATGGAGCTTGAAAGGGAATCTCAGCATGTTTTAGAGAAGGAATTAAGATACTTACACCACATTTAAGGGCCACATCTACACAACATAGGACCTTTCGTTGCTTTTGCCAGGCTGTTGTGGCAAAACTCCAGTGCATCACGATGCTGAACTTCCCCATTCCCCATTTTTCTAGCTTGCCTAACATCTTTTTATTATCTTACTTCAGTTTGACCAGAGCTCCAGCAGAGGGCTTAGTAACAGTCACTCCAGCAAAGCACATGACAGATACGTCATTTTAAAAACACATGACCTGCCCTTACATGAGAATCTGAATTAGCTGCTGCCTAGAACAACTCCTTTTCTACCATATACAAAACTTTGTATAATCTGACCTGTTTGTAACACATCTGTTCTCCCTTTCTACCTCACACTCTATAACTGTACCCATCTACATTCTCTTTCATACCTCTCTTTGCACATGCTAGTGCTTCAACATGCAGTAAAAACAGTTTAATCATCTGTCATCACCTAACCCCTCCACTACAGCTGATGCACAGTCTGTGGTCACACCACACCTCAGCATACTCATTATTTCTACAATCATCACATAGTATTTATTGCAGCACACATTTATGCAGGTAGCTTTGCTGATAGGACATAAGCTCCTTAACTAACACCAACTTTCCCCTTTTTCCAAATGCCTGTTATAATTGAGGAGGTCTTATTGAAGAGATTGAGTGAAATGATTAAGTGGTGGTAATTCCACTCCTTTCGAGAAGATACATGGTTAGTTGTGTTTCTTCAGGTCTGGGTCTGTTCTGCTAAAGTCAGTTTCTTCACTCAAACTTCTAGGTGACAGCTGTTTCCTGGGGTGTTTCAGTCCTCCACCCAAGTTTCTGTGAACCTAGGTCAGCAAGTACTTTTCAGATCTCAATTTCTGTTACATATGCTTCTGTCCCAGTAGCCCACATAAGACCCAAGTTGAAGTCAGGGTTTGAGGCAATTAGCTATAGGAGAGGTTACAAGGAGGGTGAACAAATTGGGGCCATTACTGAAACTGTCTACCAAGCAAGCTTTGCTTGCCTGTACTTGTTTCGAATGAGATAATGTTCCTGTATTTGTTGGTGCCTGACTAGAAAGTAAAATAATGGAGAAGAAAGAAGTCACTATAATCTCAGAAATTTATCATTTTCCAGTAGGTAAATGACCATATAACTCTGGTTGCAAAGTGAAATGGAATCTGTGCCATGACCACCTCTTTTCCCCATTCTTGACTCTGCTATGTGTGTTAATGTCCCATTTGTTTTTTTATTTTATAACTTCCTTTGGAATTTGGGAGATCGTAGTTTTCATATGTTGCAGAGATTTTCAAACCTCTACTCTGTGTATACTTGTTCAGTGAAAAAGGAGGGAAAGGTGAATCCAGCACTTTGGGTTGTCATCATCATAAACTCTCGGTCACCTTTGAAATAATTTTTCTTTACCTTAGATGAAAAACTGTGTCTATAGTCAGTATAAATATTGCTGGTTATTTTTTGACATCAACTATGGGAAAATCAGGTTGAAATACGATAGCTCCCATATTCAGAAACACATACTGTTCCTTGGGTTTTAGAATGAAAGTTTCTACTAGCCATGATGTTCTACAAATGTATTTATTAGCTTGATCATAAAAATAAAATGTGTTCTAATAAAATATCTTTCTTCTCTATCTTAAATGTTCTCCCCACTCACCAAGCATCTTCTATGAGTAAGCACTTTCCATTCTTTAGTTCTTCATACTTCATTCATTTTGGCTTAAAAACCTTTTCTTTAGACATTTTCTGGATGTGTTAAAGAATAACACTAACAAACATTAGAGAACAAAAAGTCATTTGAAAACTTACCCAACAGCCCTCTCTGGTTGCACAACCAATTAAAGTGCAGCAGTATGAGGCTATCAGCAGCCATTGCAGCACAAGTTCAATCCTGACCAGGGAAGTGCCCACATGGCACAGCAGAACTCTTCTGTCTTGCACACTGCTACTCAAAGGAGTATATTCATCAATCAGCCTACTCTCCCCCCCCTCTGTCTCTGGTGAACTCTCTCACTGCCCCTGCATTCTGGCCTGTACCCAGTTCTGTATCCATAAATAAATAAATCTTTAAAAATAGAAGAAGAAAGGGCCCTGCCTGGTGGCGCAGCAGGTTAAAGCACTGCACTGAGAAGCTAAAGCCACTTCTGCATGAGTTCAATCCCCGCCTGCCCCGGAGGTGATCCACATGGCCAGGTAGACCTCTCCTGACCCGCCTGCTGCTCCCCTCAGCAGTGTACTACGTCGATCTGCCTGTTTTGCTCCCCACTCTGTCTCTGGTGAAGCCTCTCGCCACCCCTGAGCCTCTGGCCTGTACCCCAGTTCTGTATGTACAAATAAATAAATCTTTAAAAAAGAGAGAGAGAGAGAAGAAAAACCTAACAAGTTTAGTTAGTAAATGGCCAATGAGTTCCTAAAGAACAGATTTTGTCTTGTCATTGTTTTGCTTTCAAATGGTCTCTGTCCCTAGTTATTGTTAAAGGAAAGATATTAAATTATAATTTTTTTTTCTGTCTAGAGTGTTCATGAATGTTTGAGTACTTTGATAATATAGGTGGAAGAATTTTAAAAGTTCAGTTCTAAATGCAAATTATTCTTAAATACTATATTTACTTGACTAACATCCTCTAACATTGAAAGCTTGTTTTTCTGCATTCTTGGGTTTTGAGATATATATAATCTTTAATAGTACAGGAAGCTGTACTAGGAGAGCTTCTTGTTGTCCAACAAGAACCACTTAGAACATTCTGCTCTGCCTAATAGCTGCAGCACTGGTCTCTGCCCACTCTTTTCTAAATATAAAAAAAGAAACTCATTTCATCATTTAATTTTGCACTTACCATTTAATAAATATTTGTGAATTCCCTAAAAGAGACCAAGCATGCCTTTATATCCTGAAAAGGCAAAGGTAATTAATACAAACTTTCCTACTCTTAGGAAGACCACAGTCTATTGATGGAAACAGTGAAGGCAAAGTTTTACAACAACCCATGCTGTAACAGAATATGAAATAACACATGGGATAGAAAGAAGGAGACAAAAGCAAAGGCAGAAATGAACTTGGGAGAGAGAATAAGCTAACCATGGAAAAGACCAAGAAAGGGTGCATGTGAGAAGGAAGGAACAGAAGGAGCAGAGTCCATCTAAAAGCAAACCTGGAGGAATTTTCGACAGAGTCCCAGTGAATCTGGGTGAATGACGTGTTGTTTTGAATCTTCAAACACTCTCAGCAATATTATGTTCCATTTAGAGTACTTTAATCATGACTGCTAGCCTGCATGCAAACACATTCTTCCATGTCCCCGTGAGATATAATTCTACCCCTAGCCAAGAGCCTAGCATTCCAGAAACCTAAGCCACGATACAGAAATCCAAATGCAACACATCAACACCATCTGCATAACCAGCTGTTCACCTCCCAGATTTCCTGTTTTATTCAAAATCACGTGTTTGTTGAAAAGAATTTTTGAATGAAAATGTTAATCCTAGTGATGAAATCCTGCATTTTATAAGTCCAAAGTCACCCTCTCAAGTTCTCTGACATTGTCATTTATGCCACCTCGAGGTACAGATTTGGCTTGAAATAGGACTCAGGTATTTGATAACTTTTAGCAGTATATTCACCCTAAAATCCCAAAAACACATATCAGGAAACCACGTGATGGGTTTCGTGGGGTGGACACACTCAGCGAACTCCAGGCTGCTGGCAGCACACAATCACACAGTTGTTCAGACAGGCTCCCCTTTTTATGTCTGCGCTCTTGACCTAGAGGATTTGAAGTTTTTGCTAATTTTCCACTCATGGATCACTCACAAACATTTAGAAAGTGTTCAGTATGCTTTACCATATGCATGTTTTATTTTTTCCTCTACTTTGATTCTTAAAAATTTGAGTACAAATATCTAAATTCCAGATTGAACAGTGTATGCTCAAAGAAATTGCTTTGTTCTAGTATACAAGTTCCTTAATTCACAAGAATTTGTTACAGGTGATGGAAGAAGGCTGTTTATATTTCCTGTGGTCTACAAGTGCTCAGATTGAGAAATACTTCTTCACTTTCTTTAAGGGAAACATTATAATTGCAAAGTGGCGGTCTGTGAAAGGCAAAAAGAGAAAAATAACTATTAGTAGAACAGCAAAGTTTGTTTTCTCTTCTTAAATATTAGACTATTTGTTGGCTACTCCTCCTAATGCAGTTTGTTAAAAAAAAAGACCTCTCGGATCATTTGCACGCCACCTTGTTTGACTACATAAGGATAATGTAGACTGAATGCCAATGAGAAAGAACAAGTTCTCTGTTTCAACCTCTCTCCTTGCTGCTTCTCAGGATATTTATATGACATGATAGATACACCTGGATGCCAAGTGTGGAATCCTAAAATCTACCTAACCAGTCCTCTGATGACAGCCACCATGGAAGAGACAGACCTCGTTGTATAGGCAAATTTTGCCAGATTGATTCAAACAACTCTTATTACCACTTACTCACATACTATGTCTTGGAAAAATTAGTATTTGAGGATTTCTGAGAACTCAAGTTGACTGGGGTGAACCAGGCAACTTCTTTACTTATTTATCTCCAATTATGTCTTGAGAATTTTCACAAAAAGTTACCAGCTAATATAAGCAAAAGAAAGTGGCAAAAAAAAAAAACTTTTTTTTTTTTTAAAGAATGGAAGAAAAAATGGAAGTAATTAATGGGAACTTCCAGCATTAACAATAGTAATTTAGCCAAGGAAAAGTGGGGGGACAGGTAGTTCAAAAGCTCAGGCGGACCTTTTTTTATCTATGAACTGCTCCAGAACTTTTAGTCCAGCTATTCTCAGGAAAGTATCCCATGTCGTCACCATCATACATATTTCTCAGATCCTAAATTAGAAGGCCCTATTCTACTAGAAATGCTCAGAAGGATAACTATGTTGCCATCTCTATCAGTTTGTTCCAAAGAGATGATTACTTCTTGAAGTCATGCAGTTTAATCTGGACCATAAAGCATGACAATTTATAACTCACATCCCCAATCATTTGGCAGTGCTAATTCTCATTAATTGCATATTATGTGAATGGACAAATCTAAATAGGAAAAGCAACTAGGTGGTTATGGCAATTATCTAGATAATTAAACCTAAAGCATACATTTCATCCAAACATCTGTTAGTATCTCCAGCCAGCAAGGAATGCTATTAATTTTGCCAAATGCCCACAAAATGTATTTTTGTTTTTTCCCCAAAGTAGAAACAATTAACATCTAAATTTTATAAATTTTCAGTCTGTTCATTTAAATTTCACATGAAAATCAAAATTATGTGCACGTTTATTTTTTGTTCTGTAGTCTATTCTAATGCCTTCTCTCTATTTCTGACTTAACCAATGGAGGAGTTCTCTACAATATTTATCTATAGGAACCATCATTAAGAAGATAGTGATTCCAATATAAGAATGGACACATCTGTCAGTCTTTTATCTTCTCATAACAAGTGATTTTAAAATGAGAGATGTGCAAAAAAAAAAATAATAATAATAAAAAAAAAAAAAAAAAAAAAAAAAAGAAAAAAAAATGAGAGATGTGCATAGGAAGATTAGTGTCTGTACACTACCAACATTCTGTGTCAAAGTGTGACTATCATGTGAGCAGGTGGAAGATGCGAAAATCCCCATCCTTTGTATTTCCTTTGTGAGTATATAATAAGGAATTTACCTAAAATGAAAATAGATATCTATGCATAGTCAGTTATGATAAACAAACAACATAAACACAAAACTGCTCAAAGAGAGCAGTGTTGCACATTCCACAAGTGATGGAATATAATGGTAGCATGAAGTCATTAGAAAGGAAAAGTAGCTTATCATGTGAGATCTTGGTCTACTTTCATTCTTTTGCAAGCAGCTGTCAAGTTTTCCCAAAATCATTTGTGAAAGAGGCTAAATCAATTCAAAATGAATTTTTTTGAGTTTACAAGTTTTACACTTGGATGTAAAACCTGAAATCATAAAATACATAGAAGAAAACACAGGCAAATGTTTCATGTTTAAGCCTTAGTGAAGCCTACAGTAGGCATCTGTCTCTACAGTAAGGAGAACAAAATAAAACATAAACAGCTGGAACTGTATCAAACTAAAAAGTTTCTGTACAGTGAAAAAAAAAAAAAACTAAAACAAAAAGACACCCTACTGAATGGGAGGAAATATTAGTTTATAAAATGATATATTCTTCCTAAAGAGAAAATTTCATATACTCAGCATTTTAGTAAACGAGAAATGCAATTTAACTCTAAAATCAATATAATCATATTACAATGTGAGAGACAAATCTTATAGGAAAATGGCACATCTTACAACTAGCTTTGATATCAAAGCTAGACAAAGAACTCGTAACACTCTACAGAACACTCTAGAAAAACAACCCAATGAAAAAAGAAGGCAAACGAATGAAACACTTCTCCAAGGAAGACATTCAAGCAGACACCTGAGGAAAAAACAATACTCAGGATCACTTCCTATCAGAGAAAAGCAAATCAAAATGACATACAGTTAAAAAGAATAGTTAATCCACCTTGCCATCTCTATTTCCAATGACCTAACCACACTCACAACCACATTCTTTTCTAAAGTACTTTTTCCCCACAAGCTGAGAAAATGTGCCCACATTTCTCATGCTACTGTTCCCATTATTTCTACATGATAACATTGGGCAAAGGTAAAACATGGGTTAATATTTTATGCCAAAGCAGTCTTCTCAAAAAGTTTCCTAAATTGTGCCTCCCTGGTGGTGCAAAGGGTTAGTAAGTCTCAACATTCTGAAGCTATCTGCAGCTACTGCAGCATGAGTCCGATTCCCTACCAGGGAGCTACCCACATGCCTCAGCAGACCCCTCCTGTCTCCCTTGCTGCTCCCCTCAGCAGGGTATTTCAGTCAATCTGCCTGTTCTGCTCCCCACTCTATTTCTGATGAATACTCTCACCCTTCCATACCTCTGGTTTGTACCTCAGTTCTTGTATGCATAAATAAGTAAATATTTTTTTTAAGTCTCCTAAATTGAAATGTTGGCAACAATTTCCTCTTCTTTTCAATGCTGTCCTATGTAACTCTGTCACCAAACCAAAATGCGCATATTCAGCATTCCTAAACTGAATGACATCTGTTTGGCTCCCAACTGGATTGCAATAACCCAATCACCATATTTAATTTGTCTAATCCATCTGATACATAAATCAGATAAAAATAATTTATCAAAAATAAAACAGAAAATCCTAACAACTATTGTTTGTTTCCTTTATTATTATTATTATTTTAAGATTTATTTATTTCTACATACAGAACTGGGGTACAGGCCTGAGATGTGGGTCGGTGAGAGAATTCACCAGAGACAAAGTAGGGAGCAGAACAGGCAGATCAACGAAGTACACTGCTGAGAAGAGCAGTATTAGAAGGTGGGTCAGGAGAGGTCTGCTGCGCCCTGTGGGTCACCTCTGGGGCGGGGGTTGAACTCATGCTGAAGTGGCTTTAGCTTCCTGGTGCTGTGTTTTATCCTACTGTGCCACCAGAGAGGGCCCTGTTTCCTTTATTATTAAGAGTTACAATATTAAAAATTCAGAGAGCAGATATGGAAATAATATTTTAAATCATGTTTTTCTGGCTTTAAAATTAAAACAAATCACTCTTAAACATAAAAAAATCAGCATTTTAATTTACTTTATAAACATTGCAATTTTTAGAATATACTATTTTTCTTCATCTAGAGAATCTGATATTTATGTAGAAAACATAATTTGAAAGATATAATAGATATGTAAGTACATTAATTCTTAATCCATACCATAAGGAACTAATATTTTCAAGTTTAATAGTTAAAATTTTTAAATTGACATTTAATTTTCTTACCTTTCTGGGTATGTAACTGATTTTAACATGAGGCGATAGATGCTATACTTGCATGTCAAACACAGCTGAGTTGAGGTCTGAAAATATGTCAAACCAATGCTTGAAATATTTACATCATTTAATAATCGAGCAAGAATCTTGACTTCCTTAAGTTTATAAAATGATATATTCTTCCTAAAAAGAAAATTTCATATAGTCAGCATTTTAGTAAATGAGAAATGAAATTTAGTTCTAAAATCAATATAATCATATTACAATGTGAGAAACAAATCTTATAGGAAAATAGGCCAAATAACAAAATATTTGTGAAATGATATACTGAAAGCTGCAATTGTTAAAACAATAAAATTAGACTTGTTATACTTATTCTCATCTAACAATCCAAAAACTCCTTTCACAGTGTAATTTCAACATTGCCATTTTACTGATGGGAAAAGTATCAGAGCAAATGAATGCCTTTTCTGGATTCAGATAGTTCACAGAAAGCAAGAATGCTAACCCAGTCATACCAAAGCTCTGTACCACTCAACTCAATTTCTCATCCGTATGTACCAGAAATGGCAGTTTCTGGGTGCTGGACTCATTTAGGGCAATATGAACATAGCTGACAACAAAGAAAAAGGAAGAGCAGAAGAAAAGGGGATAAGAAGGGAGGGGAAGAGAGGGGACAAGGGAAAAATAGATTTTTTTAAAAAATACAGCTATATGTGATAACATACGCCTAGGAGTGTGAGCCCATACCTCTAAATCACACACAGTATTACAGAACAATGCCATGTTAAAAAAAAAAAAAATCTGTTGAAAAAAAAACTCTTCCATGAAGACAAGAAAGACTTGCTTGTATAAAGAAGAGTATCACACTAGCCAAGGGCACCTAGCAGTGTACTATGACATTGTTCCTGTTTGCCTCCATCTTCATTGTCTGCAGCAGCTAAGTCCCCCAAAATGTTGTCATCACTGCTACTCAAAGTCCTTCTCTGTTCCACCCTGGGAGGAGCTACCTCTCCTTCACAAAACAGATGTCATATGTCATTAGTCAATTCTCCACTTTCTGTCTAAGAACTTAACTAGATTTGTCAGAAATGTGTCATCATCAACAAATTCACCCATCCTAATGATTTAAAATTCCAACTATTTTCTCAGGATCATCAACTATGTACCTCTATCTGAGTCCTATCTGCTGTGATTCAAACTCATATAGCCACTGTTATTCACCATGTCCCCAAGGAGAGTTCAAAGATGCATGAAGTTTAGTGGTTTCAAATCTAAATGATTTTTTCCCAGAGCCTCTCACCAAAGAGAAAACCCCAAAATCTACAAATTTCCTTTTCAACTTAAGTGATGCTATTTATTGTTCAAGCAATACAAGCAGAATTCACCCTTGCTTGATATCCTCTTTCAACTCCATGAATTCCTATAGGCTCTACCTTCTGATTCTGTTTGGAATCAATCCTCATTGTTTCAACTCCATATAAACACTCTTATGACCTTGGTATGTTGACTATATACTTGCAATTCCATCCTCTTTTTCTCCTTCCAATCCACTAAAATCAAATTATTTTTCCAAAATAAAAATTTAATCTGGTTTCAACTGGACTGTCCCAGTGAAAAACGTTAAGTGGTTTGAATTTATGCAGAATGAAATATAAATCCTGGTATATAGCTTAAAAGTTCTAGTTCCTACAAAATCTAAGTACTGTCTAACCTCTCTCTTTCTCATCTTGCTCTTGCTTGCCCTGTCTCTATTTTCAGACATATTGTATTACCTTCCTTCAAATGGACTATACTCCCTCTTGCTCTGGAACTTGGCACTTTTTGGTCCTTCTGTCCATATGGCTCATCATTCTAGTCTCAATCCATATATAAAGCCCTTAGAAAAACTTTTAGTGACCCCAGTAAGTAATTCACATCCCATACATTAGGTTTCCATGTGCACTGTTACTTGCACAAAGACATTTTTCACAGATTATATTTGCATATTATTATATATTATTTTATTAACTTCATATCCACTATGAGGCTGTAATTTAATGAGGGCAGGCCATGCGTGCTTTTCTCATCATAGTATCCTCAGCACCAGCACCGTGCCCAGCTCCATGGTGATAACAAAAATGTGTTTGAACATAACAATGATGAACATCATCATTTTACTTGCATTATGTAGTGGTAAAGTCCAGCCATTGGTCTAAACTTAAATTATATAAGAACAAAAATATAATTTGTCCAAATATTTATCCCCAATTTCTAGTATAGTTTCTGGCTTATAGAAGTGCTCAAGAATTTGTATTGAATGATTAAGCTCACTACTTCTTCATCTAGCTCTTAGTTCATGAATGGTAGTATAATTTAAATAATCTACCAAGCTTAAAAGTTAAAATCATTCTAGATTGTTTTCTTTCCTTTTACTTGCACATGCTAATTAATCATAAAAATATATTCACTCTAAAGCTGAAAAATGCATTTCCTTTGACTTGGTCCAGGCTCCCATCATCCTCTATAGAAATTGCAACAGCTACCTCTGAGCTCTCTATCCAGTCTTGTTCCACTCTGAGTCCATCGTTCTTGTGAAGCATTACTGTGAAGACGATATTCACAGCATTGTTTAAAATTGTATACCGGTATATTAATATATTTAATATCACATTGTAATATTTGCCTTTTAGTGACATTAAAAAATTATAACATATTTAACATAAAAAATACAATGGGTGTGCATAAGGACATGAACAAGTAAAAGAAGAAAGAAGGAAAAGAGAAGGTAGGAGAGGAAGAGGAAGAAAAGGAATAGTTATAAGCCAACTGGAAAACATCACTAGATGATGAAATTATAGATGACTCTCATTTTCCACTACATAAGACACATATTCTACAGTGTTCAACTTTTCCTATGTTAACTTTCAAAGAGAAATTAAAAGATCATTTAAAATTCTCTGACTCCCCAGGCATCTACAACAGTTTAAAATCTACGAGCCTGACTAAATTTGCTAGCAAAGAATTATTATTAGAAATATAATAAAACCATTGATTGACCAGGCATAGAAGAACAGACTTAGCATGCATATGTTCCATATTTTATATTCCTTCATGAAAAATGCACTAATTGGAGTATTTGAATAAAATGCATCAATATTTCATGGTTTTCTGCAAAGAACATGATGTATATAAAGGAAACTGAAGCAATTTCTTTGCTGCCTGAACAAGTTTGAAACAACTGCTTTAGAACTATCGTCTATGTGCTCTTATTGAATGCAGGCACTTCCATAACATCTTCACACATACTCTCTCTCACTTCCCTAACACTATACCTCCCCTCTAAAGTTATCCTTGCTTCTTTCTCTGCATACCCACATACATTAAGTATACTACTATGACACTTAAGAGTATGTACTAGTCTCCTTCAGCATTCTTGGAAGGCCTCCTTAAGAACTTTAATAGCATTCTTTCAATTTCACTTTCCAAACTGAATATATCTGGTAGATGCTGGATGACATTTTTTGAATAAGTGAATGAATTCAAAAGTCAACCAAGAATGTGTTTAATGAGAAGTAATACATCATATATAGAGACATACCGTTTATACATACACACACACACACACACACACACACACACACATATATATACACAATTTTAGACAATTTAAATTAATTTACTACTATGGAACAATACTATTTTTTATTATAATACCTCCAACCAATGCTCAAATTTAGGTGAAAAGGTTTAAAAGTTTCTCTCAATAAAAAAAATGAGTCTGATGGATATGTTTGGTTCAGAATCCTGATTTTTTTGATCTTTAGATGTGTGAAGACCTAAGATCCTTTCAATATTTAACATTTTAAGTCTCCCTGGGTAAAAAATATATACCTATATTATCTTCTAAAATGGATGTTTAGGAAAATACATATTCATTTATGAAACAAAAAGATTAAATTATACTTACTCATAGAGTCTTGCCTCTTCAACCATTCCAAGTTGGTTTAATAATTTAAATGTAATATGTCCATCCTTCATAGTTTTATCCAGAACCATTATACTGAGAATAAAATAATAGGCTATAAAACAAAAACAGAGAATGCAATTTGCATTATTTTTAACTTTACTTTCATACGCATGTAGATGTGCATGCATGTGTACTACATGTAATCTAGGCACATGCTAGATGTGCAAATAGTTTTGAGTCACTCACTTAGTAAAATGATAATATAATTTAGTGCGTGTAAAATTTTGAACCAATCTTGAAAATAAGCAATAAAAAAGCCTGTCGCAGGCCCTCCCTGGTGGTGCAGCGGGTTAAAGCACAGCACTGAGAATCTAAAGCCACTTCTGCATGAGTTCGATTCCCGCCTGCCCTGGAGGTGACCACATAGTGTGGCAGACCTCTCCTGACCCGCCCGCTGCTCCCCTCAGCAGTGTACTTCATAGATCTGCCTGTTCTGTTCCCCACTCTGTCTCTGGTGAAGCCTCTCACCGCCCCTGAGCCTCTGGCCTGTACCCCAGTTCTGTATGCACAAATAAATAAATCTTTAAAAAAAAAAAAAAAGCCTGTCGCATTCAGGGTAAGATCATTTATTTGTGTATCCTAACCAGTCTGTAAAAGAAAAATATATGTAAGGTAAATATAAGGTTACTTAATTACTGATTAGTATTTCTAATTAAACTAACTTAAAAATGTAAATTCCAGCTTCACTGGTTGTTTAAAAAAAGACTGCAAAATAAAGACATCTTATACAGTATAAATTCACTTATACAGTGTGAACTCTTGAACAAAAACACACCTACTAAAAACTGACAATATACACCTTTCACAGACAAGGAAGCCTCAATAGTGTATAGGATGTAGAGAAAGTTATGACTGTGAGTTTTCCAAGTACGAAGCACCATCACCTAGAAGATAATGCCTGCATATTACATTGAAGGGTACATCATTGGCCTACATGAACTATTATTGTGAGACACACATGGACTAAATTTGTTCATGCTGTTAAATGTTGCTACTACACAGTCATGAGTACCATTGTGCCGTATGCCTCACAGTATTGCCTCAACTACTGTCCTATATTTTTGATTGAACAAGAAATGTAAAGGAACATGTCGAACTTGGAAAGGCCCAGCTTTTGATAAAATATTTTGACTCACGTCACCCAACAAAATGGATATCCAGATTTGCTCAGATGATTTCTGAGAGTATGACATCAATATGTTACAGAATAACATTTCTACTACAAGTACATAGAAATTCAGGATTTATGAACCATAAGTTAAATAGACAACCAAAGTCATATGAGGAAAGGAGAAATATCAGGAAATAGAAATGAGAAATGAGAGAAGGACTGAAACCCTGAATACCCCTAGGATAGAGAACTAAATACAGCATGAACACATAGCTGCTCAGCTTCTGTGCATAAATAAGATATACGATGCGGGCCCTCCCTGGTGGCACAGGGTTTAAAGTGCAGCTTTATGAAGCTATCAGCAGCCACTGCAGCTTGTGTTCCAAGCAACGCCAAGGAGCTGACCCAGATGGCACTGCAGATCTTTCCTGACCAGCCCGCTGCACCCCGCTCTGCTTCCCACTCTGTCTCTGTTGAATCGTCTCTGTCTCTGTATCTCTCTGTCTCTCTCTCTGTCACACACACACACACACACACACACAGACACACACACAGACACACACACAGACACACACACCTCTATACTGTACCCTAGTTCTTGTATGCATAAATAATTGTTTTTAAGATTTATTTATTTATGCATGCAGAACTGGGGTACAGGTCAGAGGTGCAGAGCGTAAGAGGATTCACCAGAGACAGAGCGGAGAACAGAACAGGCAAATCAATAAAGTACACTGCTGAGGGGAGTAGCGGGAGGGATAGGAGAGGTCTGCTGCGCCATGTGGATCACCTCTGGGGCCAGGGATCAAACTGGCATTGAAGCGGCTGCTGCTAGCTTTCAGTGCTGTACTTTAACCTGCTGCGCCACCAGAAAGGGCCAAAAAATCTTTTTTAAAAAGGAAATATGATGCTAGAAATGAAGGATGCTAGCTTGACATCTTTACCAATATTTTAAGAATTGTTGCATTTATTTATGCAAACAACTAAGAAACAAATTTTCAATAGCCTCCCCACTCTGTCTCTGGGGACTCTTCTCACCCTCTATGCCTCTGACTTACACCCCCATTCTTGAATATATAGACAAATAAAAAAAAAAATCAGTGGCTTTTTTGCCGAAAGAAAAGAAACAAACATCAGCAACAATAAAATCGAACAATACTAAGACATATATGGAATCACAAAAGAAAAAAGAAAAAACAAAGGTCATTGACTGTTTCTTTTGGAAATATTACTCAATGCTTATGTTCATTTTATCTAAAATCTCAAGTTGCTATTGAATGTGTACAACTGGTTCTAAGAAGTTTTAAAGTTCTTTGGAAGTACAGAATGGAATTTGAGAGGGTAGAAGAAACCATTGTTATAAAATGTAAATTAGTGTAATAAAATGAATCATTTGTTTAAAATGCTAATAACTTACTACAGAATGGATGTGTGCCTGTAGTATCCAAAAACACAGAGGTCCTAAGAGACCTTTTTTCTATTCTTTCTGTTAAAATATCTTTCCATAGTTCAGCTTGATAACCTAAGATTTGAAAAACAGATCTTTAGAAATCAAACTTACACCAAATGACAAAAATTTCAAATCACTAAAGGAACTAAAGAATCAAAGTACTATAATAATAAGTTGTGGATTTTTTTTAATTTAAAAATATTTTTAAATAGTTTTACATTCAGTTGTAATTAAAATAACACACTTTAAGTTCAACATTCACAAATAAACCCACTCCCCAGTTATCTTATCAGAGCTTAGCATACTCCTTTATGGCTACAGGTGATTTAAAGCAGCAGTTTTTGCTCTGACATAGTGTTATAAATTCAGAATTTTTGCTTATAATTCTCATTTATAAATTTAGTTGATTGATTAGCCAAAATGTTAGCACAAAACTTAACTCCATGAGTATATCCCCTATATATATAAATATATCTTTCTCTATATATTATAGATAATAGGTATACTAAGTATATATTGTATCTATGATCTGCATTTCAGATAAATATGTACATATAGAAGGTGTTCTACACACACACATACAAGATGCTTCTGACTTCATGTATTTGTCTATTCCCACATTGCCACCTTTAAACTTGAGATTTGAATGTACTAGAAAGCATACAGAAATGAGAATTTAGTGGTTTCATTCTAGTTCTCATTTGTAACCTTCAGGAATCCATTCATCTCACAAGAGTCACAACTTTCTCATTTATATAGAAAACTGATTGGGCCAGAAAAGCAATTAGAACAACAACAAGTCTCAAGAGAGGGTCCCCGGTAGCAAAAGGGTTAAAGTCTCAGCACTATCAAGCCATCACCAGCCACTATAGCACAAGTTCGATCCCCAGCCATGGAGCTGACCCACATGGCACAGCAGACCTCTCCTGTCTCTCTTACTGCTCCCCTCAGGAATGTATTTCAGTCAATCCTATTCTGCTCCCCACTCTGTCTCTGGGTAAATCTTCTCACCCCTCCACCACCTCTGGCCTGTACCCCAGTTCGTGTATGCATAAAAATAAAAATAATTTAAAAAGTCAAGAAAACTAGTCCCACACCATATCCTGTGGATACTAAGTGTCTACGAGAAAATAAGTCTGGCAAAGCTGCATAGTGTATATCTCGCCTAGAGATTATCTAAGTGTTAGTATAAGCCCCCTGCTGACAAAAACTACAAGAAGTTGTTCAATTCAGACTTTGTAATTGCTATCCATTTCACTGAGCTCTTTAGATTTTGAAAACACTTCTGTCAGATCCTGTCATGACACTGATCAGGTATTTACTTGCTTATTACATATTTGGGGCCTGGTATTCTCTTATGAAAACCTTGACAACTCATCTAGAAAGTTCTTTAGGCTCTAACATCCCATGTTTTTAGTGGATTGCTTTCATACTAGCAGAGTAGTTATAAGAAACTGAGTACTTAACTGTTCCTACTAAACATTATCAATTTTAAAAATGTGAATCACCTATGATTTGTGTCTACTTCCTAACAACAAATGCAAAGCTAACTCCAGTTCATATCGCAGAACTTGCTCCTAAAACTCCTTGCAACAAAATCCTCAATGCCACTTAGACTGCACAAGTCATTTTTTTTTTATTTTTTAAGATTTTTATTTATTTATGCATACAAGAATTAGGGTACAGGCCAGAGATACAGGGGATGAGAGGCTTCACCAGAGACAGAGTGAGGTGCAGAACAGGCAGATCTACTGAAGGAGAGCAGCTGGTGAGACAGAACAGGTCTGCCACCCCATGTGGGTCACCTCCCTAGCTAGGGATCAAACTTGTGCTGCAGTAGCTGTAGACAGCCTCCTAGTGCTGTATCTTAATCCCTTGCACCACCAGGAAGGACCCTCATAATTCTTTCTTTAAGTGAAAATATATCAATAGAGGGATAATCAGTAGGTAAGATGAAATCCTTTTGTGTATCAGAAAAGGGATTACCATGAGGTCACAAAATTTTCCCATAACACTGAGCATAGGCAGGCAATTTAACAAGTTCCTCAGTAAATAGGAATTATAGCAATAACAATGTCTCTTACCCAGCCTAGGGCATTTCTTCTTAAAACCATCACAATCCATGCACAAACCAATCTTGTAATCTTCATATGAAGAACATGGAAATGAGATAAACTTGCAGTCTGTCTCCAGAGCAGCCATGAACAAGTAAACTGCTCTCTGGTGGTCACATTTAATAAATTCAATACCTTAAGGGTAAAATAAAGCAAAAGAACTATTGAAGCACTACATTAAATTCAAGCAAATTAGAGGGAAAAAAATCAAGATGAAATTGTGCTCAATACTCTACAACTAATGAATATTAAAATGTTGCCTGGAATACAGTTTTATCTCACGCAACTAAAGAAAGGTTCCATGGGAAACAATACCTTTTACATGAGATATATGAGAAATTTTTCTGAAGTAATAATGAACAAAGCATAATCATCTAATCCAGCAACAACAAACATAAACATTGCACTAATAACTCGGGTGCCCAAATCTTCTTTCAAAATTCATAGTGAGTGCTTCTACCCCACGTCAGAGGTGACCATGAAGCCAGTTACCACCAGCATTTATTGTGCTCCTTCCCGTTCCAAATTTTTACAACCTTACCCCTTTCTGAGCTGCAGTTGTCATTAGCTATGTGTTCCTTAACTAGGTGTCACTATAAGATTTCAAAACATTTGTATTTATGGTTGTAAAATAAGCAAGTACCACACAAAAGCAGCTGATTAGCCATCTATGTATAGCCTGAGCAAACACAAGAGCTGATAAATCTGTTTGTACACTACTATGATGACGATATCGATTAAACAATGGCCCAGACTTGGGTTGAATGACACATTAGCTATATCTGCTTTTTCACTGATTATATCTTCTCCTATTTAAGAGGATAAACTAAAACTGTAGCTCTCATCAGTCTCATCCATGACCAAATGAAATCAGTACTGGTAACCTTTATCAACTGAAAAGGAGCAAACTAAACAATTTCATTACTAACACTCCTAAATCATGGGCACTAGCGATCAAAATCATGCCCACAGATTGAGAGAAAAAAAAAAAAAAGCAAACTGATTTCCTTTCCCCCTTTTGAGTCATATGTAATTCATTTAAAAATACTATAGGTATACCTGAAAAAATTGTTTTAGGGCAGCCAGGTTGTTTTTTTCCGCCATTTGGATAAAAATCTATATGTCCCAAAGGTTCTTTAATTCCTAAACCTAAGGAAAAAGAAAAACACCCAATAACCACAAAATGTATGAGTCAGGCCAGTAACAATGGCATCAAAACAAGTATCCTATAAAATCCACTGAAAGTGACCCTATTAAAATTTGAAATCAAAATAAAATAAATGCTAATTTTAAAAGATGAGATGCCTGATATTAATTCCTCAGATTAATTCCTTGTGAATTTTATGTGTCATTAATTTAACATATTTACCATTCACTAGTCTACTATGGGAACGTCATAGCTCCTTATGTGTCAAGTATGTAAGTGAACAAAACAGGAACCCTGGTTAGAATGAAAAATTATATTCTAGAGGGTGGAAAATAAATGAAGAAAAATATGGTATTTTGGATAGTAACAACTTTCAGAGAGAGAAATTTAGTAGAAGAGAAGGGTAAATGACTATGAGGGTAAAAGGTTGCACATTTATGGATTAAATAAGGAAATTGCCCACTCAGGAAGTAAAAGCTGAGGAAAGATCTGAATGATATGAGACGGTGAAGCAAGTAGACATCTGTGAACGTGTCTGGGGATTTAAAGAAGCCAGGATACTACAGTGTAATTTTGATACACATAATACAAGACAATAAGTGCAGATATATAACTTAAAAACATCATGGTCATTAAGTAGCAGGAGGATGTGATTTAATCAATAATGTAATTAATAAAAAGAACAAAATCAATTATTGTTTATCAAATTCCAATTTTCAGGATGACATGCTACTTTTGTAATCATAGGGAGGAAAGCTGAAGACAGAGAGCCAGTTCACAACACAAGAAGTTACTAACACTAAGAAACCAGGCCAGTGAGAGACGCATTATTATATAATAACAGAGACATCATCATTCACCCACTACTTTTCCTCCTCCTTCCCCATGTATACATGTCCTTTCTTATTTTCAAATAATTAAGCAATAAATTTTGCATTCTTACTATTGACATCAGAATGAATGATATCCACAAACTTTGCATCACTATAATCTAATCTATCATTTGATGGTTTTCCAGAGAATTTGGGTCCAGCAGGATCAAGACCTGAAATTCAAGAATACTAAAAATCAATTACAAAATCCTACTGCCAGCACAATAAGTTATAATGCATTTCCATTACATTGTAAACCTAACAAACTTACAGTTTTAGCCTAAACTTGTCCAAAATTACATCAAAAACAAATGAAAGTGGATGAATAGCAAATATTTTTATCATGACTTTTTTTGATGTGATGATGTGATAAATTACATTTGGATAAATTCACCTTATATTGAAAATATCATAAGCTGAAAATGCATTTAATACACCAACCACTAAACATATGTGCTTAGTCCTTTTAGCTTAAATATGCTCAAAACACTTACATTAGCTGCACAGCGCAAAATCATATAATACAAAGCCTATTATATAGGAAAATGTTAAAGGTTTCATATAATTGTATACTAAAAATGAAAAAAACAAGGTATTTATTCTCATGATCATGACTGTGGCTAGCTGTCACAGCCCACATCATGAGAGAAAATCACACTATATATCACTAGCCCAGGAGAAGACCACTGACTGCATGTCACTTTTGTATCATTGAAAGTCAAAAAATTACAAGAGACCCTTCCTGATGGTACAACACGTTAAAGTGCAGCACTATGAAGCTACCTGAAGCCACTGTGGTATAAGTTCTGTCCCCCGGCCAAGAAGCTGGCCCACATTGTACAACAGACCTGTCCTGTCTCACCTGCTGCTCCCCTCAGCAGTTTATTTCAGTAGATCTGCCTATTCTGCTCCCTACTCTGTCTTTGGTGAATCCTCTCACTCTCCACACTTCTGGGCTAAACCCCAGTTCTTCTGTGCATAAATAAATAAATGAATATAAAAAAATTAAAAGCTGAACCATCATAACTCATCCGTATTTTTATTTATTTATTTATTTTTTGAATGACCCTTGAAAGCAGACCACAGATCTGAGACATTTGGGAGGAGACAGGGAGGAAGATGGGAGAACAGAGCAAAGGAATGAGAGGAGGGCATAATGAACTATGGTGGAGGGGTGCAGGTGCTTTGATGGTGGAATCCTACATTGTGAACAATAAGCAAGGATGGGTACAAAAATTTTTTAAAAATAAAAAATCTGTAGTTGAATAATATTATTCATTTTTCAGAGTTTATAAACAATCCTGTTAATGACACTACAGACACCTCAACAAAACCCACCATTTTTGAGTATTTTTATTGAAGGAATAATAAATAATAAAGCAGCAGGAATTTATATTGAATAAGAAATAATGACTAATAATTCTGGGGGCTGAACAATGGAGAACATCATGGGTCTATCTTAAAGTGTGAATTTCGGGCCCACCCTGGTGGCACAATGGGGTAAAGCACAGCACTATGAAGCTATTCAATGCCACTAAAGCACAAGTTCTACTCCTAGCCAGGGAGGTGGCCCACATGGGATGGCAGATCTCTTCAGACCTGTCTGCTGCTCCCCTCAGCAGTGTATTTCAGTCTGCCTGACTATTCTGCTTCCCACTCTGTCTCTGGTGAATCCTCTCACCCCCCACATCTCTGACCTATAACCCACTTCTTATATGCATAAATAAATAAATCTTAAAAAAAAAGTTTGAATATCACTAGTTCATTTTGGATCAATCTACATGTTTAAAGTAATCCTTAGAGCTGTACGATAAGACATATTATTCTATCTCACCTATATATTTCTCACAAAAGCTTCCCACATTTAAGTAAAGAAAATATATTAAATACAGATTAGTAAATATATTATTTCTAGTGTATTCGAAATTCTGAATAAAAACTCCAGATCTGCAATCTATAGAAGAGTGTCAATAAAAGAGAAGGAAGAAATCAAGTTGAATGCCTAGCAAAGACAAAACATTTTTTAAAATATTTTAAAAAGTAAATATAAAATGTTGCTTGTCTACAGCCCTTTTATTATATCAAATATATATATTATTCCTAATATATTTAGTCCACTTGACAGCATGAAGTACAAAGGTCTCTTCCTATAAATTATTCTGTGATAAACTACCACAATTGGTAGCCTCTAAATCCTGATGATGAGCTTGGTATGTTGGATCATTCAAACTGTATTTATGTGGTGTTAATAAAAACACCATAAATTGCTTGGGGTTGCCATCATTCAAACTAAGCTAGTGTAGCAATTGAAAGAGAATAGACTTTGGTTGCTAGAGACGCTTGTGTAAATCCTGGCTCAGCTGTTATTAGCTGTTTGACTCTCCTACTCTCATTCAGCTAGCCCCAGTTTCCACACATATATATATATATGTTCCCATATATATATATATATATAGGAACAATAATAAAAAAAAGATCAGAACAAGTAAGTCAAGATATACTTAAGGTTTGTTGAAATCCTAACTACCAATACAAGTTATTCACCTCTCCCTTCTTTCTTTGTTTAACTAACTGACCCTATTTAATGTTTATAAACACTTGAAGTGATTATAAATCTTGTAGGAGCAAGATCTCATTAACTGTAAAAGAGCTGAGTTGACGAGGGAGGATACTACCTCAGTAGTTTTAAAATCACCACCACTAATAAAGGGAAACATAAAAACCCTCATGTGTATTATTTGGTTAGTAAGCTTTCAGAATTTAATAACTTTGTTATAGAAGTATGAGGGGAATTGGAATCCAGAAATCCCTCAATCTTAGATAGCAATTCCTGATTCTCCTTCTGTTGTTCAAGTAACATTTTTTTAAAGGTAAAGTATATCAGTGTTTGTGAAAATATATGGTAGTATTCTTAGTTAATTCACAAAACCAGTTTTTTTTTTATTTGACATGCCCAATTATCCTCTGGATTGTAATAATGATATGTTCTTAAAATTCACAGAGGGTGAAGGAATTTGTCTGTTTCTTCCCACTTCCATGGGTAATTTAAGTTCTGTAACAAATGAAACAAGACTTCAGAGTATAATTAAAACAAAGACTTTAAAACAATTTGAATGTAATACAGAAAAATATATACATTTGTGTATAATTTCTGTTGCTGAATTATTATACAAAGTAATTTCCAGTGCTTAAAAGTAGACTAAAAAATTAATTTTATCACAAAATTTTACCTGTTATCCTTCCAAGTTGACCATGAAATATCTTTCCAACAAATCCACTAATATGAGCCCCTAAGCTCACACCTATGAAATGAAAATTATCAAGAGATGCTCCATGCTTCTGCAATAAAAAAGGCAGTATCATGATTTTCATTTCAGAAAATGGCAATTTAATATCTAAAAGTCACTCTTTCTGGTTTAATCTATTTCTGGGAGGTAGAGAATGGAATTTTATTTCAAAACAATTATATCATTGTTCAAGCTTTTCCATTATGTATCTGAATTTTCTCTATTCGTTTGCACTAATTCCATGTAAATTCTCATTACCAAATTTTCTATTATGTATAATCGTACATAATATGAAATAATACATTTAGTTAACAAAGCATTTTGAAATAATAATAATTAGATATTTTCATTACTTACTTTAAGATAGTTACCTTGATAAGTGCTTTGTAAATGTCATATTAAATATTTACAATAGTCCTGTAAGTTATCTATTTTTGTTCAGTTGCCTAAAATTGTCATTTGCACCTATTAAGTGTTAAATGAGCGGTGACTTACCTCAAGTGACACATATATAAAATTTATATATATACATATGTACACACACATATGTAAAATAAAATAAAAACTATTGGTGGAAAGAAGGATTTCAAGCCCAGATCTATTTAACTTCATATTAACCTGTCTCCCAGGTTAATCTGATCTGATTGTGTAAAAAGAAAAAAACTCTAGGAAGACAGGACAGTGTGACTAATAATTCTCATTTCAGGAATGATTAAATGAGGGGTATGGATATTAAGTGATTTCACCTAATCACAAGTTAGAGAGTGATGAAGTTCAATTTTCCAAAGCCAAGTTCTGAACACCCCTCAGAGTATGAGCGGGAAAACGGGGTTTGGGGTGTGAATGGTAGGAACTGAAATGAGGAAGATTTTCTTCCACCTCACTCTCAGAGAGCAGGTTCTGGTCCATCCTATACAGTGACACACTGTATCACTTGTAAAAAAGATGGGAGCATTTATTGCTAATGAGAAACAAGACTTTGGCTTTCCAAGCATAGGATGTCAAATTGCTCAGAGCAAAGACAGGGAACTTAAGGGACCCTCACTCATCTTTACATCCTTCCTCGATATAAAGCCTTTGAAAGCAAAATATAGTTAGAAATTCATTTAATACTACCAATATTCCTAAATTTCTGTTTCAACCTCGCAATTCCCATACTTGAGGTATGTTAGAGAAAGACCACTGCTATAGGAAATATCAATTATGCAATACACATTTTATTTCATCAATAAGATCAGGTGAGTCAATTACCTACTTTGTCTTTCTAGAGGGAAGGCTTGTTTCTGTCCAGATTTGGAGATGTAGCAATAGAAATGATATGATTTCATTCAGTGGTTACTATACAACTAGCACTGATTAAAAATGCATTTCATTCAACACCTAAACAAAATACCATTCTAATAGTTGTGATCCCAAATATGTAGATTAGCAAATGAGAAACAAAGTGGTTAAACAATTCATCAAAATTATACAGGTATGAGATGGATTTGGGCTTTGAAGCTTGCCAGTCTGGCTCATAACCATTACATGTAATAGTTTCTTGGGTCTGTTTGATTGTTTAAGCTCAGCAAAGGCTTATAAGGTCAGAAACATACAACTCAAAGGTAAATTCCAAGTCCACGATTGCCCTCAAATTGAATGCCACTTTTTCTCAAGTGTCCATCACTAACACCTTTCTCCAAAAACAGTTGTGGCTCTCCAAAGGGATTGATTTAGTAAACAGATCATTCAAACTATAGATTAGCTAGAACTAGTCGGATTCTGGTCCACCTCTACCCTGGGGCTCAAGGATGAATAAAACTGAATGGAGTAAGACCTGCCTCCAAGACTGCCAGAAGTATGCAAGTCAGACTGTTTGCCCTTGATTTACAAATTCATACTTGATTAACTGTTAACATACTAGTCAGAACATAGAAGAGATCTCTAAAGAATCTCATGATTATATAGTTTAACCCCTCTCTACCCAGAGTCACTACCTGATCTTAAAGTAGATATAAATGGTTAAGAAGTCTCAAAAGCTTTTCAGGTAAAACAAGTGAGTTTTCCAGATTTTTTTTTATAAAACAAGACAGGTCATGTACAGGTATCAAGTTATGCACTAAAACAAAGGGGAAAAATGCATACACTAGTATATAAAAAGCAGTAATTCTTAATGCTTATGAGAAAAACAGTACACATCACCATTTTGTGATATTGTATGAAACTTTGTATATTACATAACATATATCCAAAAGCTCAAGACTTACCAAAAGATTGTGAATGGATTCACTCAATTTTACAGCAACTTTTCTGGTGTTTTTGACAGCTCTACTGTAAATAAAAGTTGTGGCACCCCTGTTCCAGTCCACTACAATTATATTAATATCATCTTGATCCAACAAAATTCTTAGAAAGTTCTGAAGCCATGAAGGAATGGAACCCATTGGTCTGTATCCATGAATGAGCCAGACTGTTTTCTTGCTTGTGTTGAAATGAGTATTTAGTGAATTATCCTGTTCAAAAAGTGGCTCAGCACAGTTAAAGTTGTTCCTTGTATACATCATCAGATACATCTCCAATTGGGGAACAAACAAATCTTTCAAAGAATCTTTTACACTTAACTTAGAGAATTCAAGGCATGGTTTTTTATTCTCTGAAATTAAAAAAAAAAAGTTTAAAGTAATCACTGATTATGTGAAAAGGTTATTTGAATTAGAAATAATCAAAAACGACAGTGAAACCCAGTAAATATTGTTGGTTAAAAATTAAGAAGGGCCCTCCTTTGTGGCACAACAGGTTGAAGCACAGCACTACAAATGTTAAGGGCAGCAGCTTCAGCAGGAGTTCTATCCCCGGCCAGGGAGGTGACCAACAGAGTGAGGTAGACCTCTCCTGTCTTTGCCCACTGTTCCCCTCAGCAGTGTATTTCACTTGATCTACCTGGTCTGCTCCCCACTCAGTCTCTGGGGAATCCTCTCACCACCACTGCACCTCTGGCCTGTATACATAAATAAATAAATCTTAAAAAAAAAAAGAAAAAAAGAATGACTATAAAAATGAATGAATAAATGAATGGATAGATAGATAAATAGATAAATGAGTGAATAAATAAATATGTAACTAAATAAGGATTTCCCCCATGTGCCCTGCCTGGACTACAGTTAATTCTTCAGTCAGAGGCACCATCTTGCTACTCTGGAAGAGTCACCACAAAATTTCAACACACCAGAGTCACCCAAGACTCCCACCTGTGTGCTGCTGGAGCCTGAAATCCCCTTTATGAATGAAACTGCACTCATCACCACTTGTTCTGAGCAAGTCATTGGCTAAGTGCAGGCAATGCATGTGGAGGACTGATTTGCCACTTCGGGGTATTCCTTTTATGTACCGTCTCAGGAAGGTGCACCACTTCAAGTGAGTCAAAACTAAAAACGGTTTGAATAGATAGATAGATAGATAGATAGATAGATAGATAGATAGATAGATAGATAGATAGATAGATAGATAGATAGATAAAAAGGATTTGTTTCTCTGCAATCTTCCCCCCTCATGCTATAGGAAATCACAGAGAAAAGAAACCACAGGAGATGGTGACTTTCACTCAGGCAAAGCCAATGAAGAAAGAATTATGATGTCAACATGAGAAATTTTCAAATAAATCTCACATCACTGCCTAAAGATTTTTTTATGTTCTATTCTGATTGCTGAGAGTTATTATACATAGGTATAGGCATGGGACATGTATTTTTAAAGATTTATTTGTGCATACAGAGCTGGGGTACAAGCCAGAGGCTTTTCTAATAAACATTAGAAAAAATGTATTTTACCTGAACAGGGATAAAATAAATACAGATTAAAGCAATAAGGGATCATTTTTTTCCTATCAAATTAAACAATGGAAATAACTTTTTAATACTCGTGAGAGTACTGGAACAAAAACTTCATATACATGGATGCTGAGAGCATAAACAGATACAACCACCTTGTGAAATTTTATATATGTGGTTCTACATACTATAAAACATTTTCTTTTAAAAATTATTTTCTCTTTTCTGTCTAGAATTTACATGATGAAAAGGCAACATTATGTAAAGTTTTCACTTTGTCTTCATATTTACATATTTTTTGAATAAGCAAATATTTTTTGAATATTTTTTGAATAAGCATATAGTCCCAAAATATCTAGTTTAATTTGGCAAGAATTTTGGAAAACAATTTGTCAATATATATAAATGTTCAAAAAAGTCTCAGTGTATTTCAAGCCAATAATTCTAAAAATTTATCCCAAGAAAACATACAGATGCTTAAAAGGAATGAACTAATAAATATTATCTTGATATAGAAGGAATAGAAGCTATTTAAATGCCCAGCAACTATGTTGTGATACACATATATATGACTTAAAACATACAATACATATTTGATATGTCAATAATAACATGCATTAATTATAATCATGTTAGGATGAAAAGAATAATGTGTTATTATCACAGTTTTTGAAGAAGAAAAAGGAGGAAGGAAATGAAGGAGAAGCAAGGCTCACATAAACTTCTAGGTTGACAGCTGAGATACTCATGGTTAAGTGTGTTTTTATTTTAAGTATTTGTATTTATTTTTTGTATTTGTATTTATTCTTTGTAAAATTTGTATTGACTATTTGTATTATTTATTATTTGTATTTTTATTTATTTATTCTAAGTACTAGAAAATGAGGAAGTAGAGAGTAGGAGTGTCTCAAGTCACAGTGCAATAACAGTGTTTACTACACTGGATAAACCGGCAGGGAATGGTTTCTGTCATCCACCTTCTCACCAGCTGGCCCTCAAGGAAGGAAAATGAAATCAATGAATCCAAACCAAGGTAGATTCTACCTGACCCCAAAAGTGAGGAAACCAATATGATTTTTGTGAATAATAAAGAAATCACACCCCCCCCAAAAAAAAAAAAAAAAAAAAATCTAGCCGCTCTACTCAGGCCTTTTGTGGCCCTCAAGGAAGGAAAATGAAATCAATGAATCCAAACCAAGGTAGATTCTACCTGACCCCAAAAGTGAGGAAACCAATATGATTTTTGTGAATAATAAAGAAATCACACCCCCCCAAAAAAAAAAAAAAAAAAACCAGAGAAATCTATTATCTGTTACCAGCTGTAGACAACCTCATTAGAATGCAAGAAAAATCACATCTCAAAAACAGGACCAAAGGTCATTAAGAGAAAACATATTGAGGCAAAACAAAAACAGGATAAAATGAAAAGTAGAGTAATGAAATTACTCCAATTCTGGAAAAGTGAAAACTGCCAAATAAAAATTCAGAATATGTACTAAAACAAACATGGAATGCTTGTTATATTTGTAGTAAAAGGGGGAGTGATTAAAATTACGACAGGCGGCCCTCCCTGGTGGCGCAGCGGGTTAAAGCACAGCATAAAGAAGCTTAAGCCACTTCCACTAGAGTTCGATCCCCGCCTGTCCCGGAGGTGACCACATGGCGCGGCAGACCTCTCCTGACCAGCCCGCTGCTCCCCTCAGCAGTGTACTTCGTCCATCTGCCTGTTCTGCTCCCCACTCTGTCCCTGGTGAAGCCTCTCACCCTCCGCATCTCTGCCCTGTGCCCCAGTTCTGTACGAATAAGTAAATAATCTTTAAAAAAAAAAATTATGACAGGCATCATAACTATGGGACAGAAAGTGCTGTTGCAAATTAAAAATCATCAGTATTCTGGTTGGGGTGATATTTGGAGGGGAAATGTAAGCATTAACAATAATTAACAGAATAATTGCATGCCAGGGTGTGGAAACTGAGAAAGCTCATCACAATCTAGACAAAATCAGTTAGTCACACTCACCAAGAAACTTCCTAGAAACTGGTTTGGTTTTCGATGAAAGAGAAAAATATCCTAAAAATATCAAGGCAGAAAATGCGGGTTACAAATGGAGGAAAGCAATTCTGATGATTTCAGATCTGTCTCTCCAGCCAATACATCAGCAGACAAAAGTAAAATGAACAAAGCACACACGTGGAACACGTTGCAATATAATAATTTTATATCCTTTCTAAAGTACATCACTCAAAATGCCAGAGTAAAACTCCTAACATCATCACTGCTAAATAAATCCTGCAGACACTGAAGACAATAACTGCAAAAACTGGGTGTGAAAGAGAAGACTGAAAGAGAACATAAAAAGACAAGTTATACATTTATATAAATAATATAAAACATAATGCAATATCAAAAGTCACTGTTGTTCAAATATTGAAAAAGAATACAGTGTAAGTCAATATGCTAAGAATGTAGGATAAAAAGAGTATAGGGGCAATAAATATGTTGTAAAAATTTCCTGAGGGATTTGAAAGAGGACTTTAAAATAAATAATAGAAAAATAAAACAAATGATATTATACTAAAAAAAAAAAAAGATGCGATGTTCTGCAACTTTTAAAAAACCTCTACTGAAAAGCCAGAATCTCAGCTCTCATAAAATAATATAGTAATAAAATATTTAATAGAAGTGCAAATAAAATTCTAAGTAAGTAGTGAGGTAAAGATATTCCATACAAAATGAAACAAAAGGGAATTAGGTCGCTGTACTCTATTGGAGGGGAGGTTTTCCTTAATTCCATGACATTTTCCTCATAACTGTATTCTCTGATCATAACTAGGGTCACTTGCCCCACTTTTGGATATGAGCACAGCCATGTTATTGCCCTTGAAAAAAAATGGACATATTCCAGTCAGGGTTATAACACAGACATATTCATCAGGGTTTGGCTTTCTACACTTCTGCTGTCACTATGACATCACATCTGCACTAACCTGCTTGACCAGGACATACAGGTATCTAAGGGCTACCCTCTCCAGTTATACTAGTCACCCCAGTTGAGTGACTGTCACCAATCAAATATTCCAGTGAACTCAAGAAAACAGTGCTAACAAAGTCACACCTGACTCCACAGGTTTGAATAATAAACACTTTATGTCACTTCTGATAAGGGTTTGATTTCTGATTTTTTTAGCATTATTGTAACATCATATAACTGACTTCATTAGTAATATTAACACCAGTGCAAATGAATGAAAAGCCAAAGCTTTCAAATGAAATGAAACAAACTAGACAGGGAGAGAACACGGTGGAGGATGATGGGGTACTGTTGGACACTCCGGTGGTGGGAAAACTATGGTGCCTACACCTGCGGGGAGAGATCCTATATCGTGGGAATTAATAAACAAGAATGTTTAAAAAATAAATTAAAAAAAAAAGAAAGAGGGGGTACCGAGAAAAACATAATTTGTATAGAAAATTTCCAAACATTTAGACTTTCTATGAAGTTGAAGAAATGATGTGAAGAAATTAAAAAATCAAATTAATAAAGTTTGCAAGAATGTTACTATCATCAAAGAAGAAAAAGAGGGCCCTTTCTGTTGATGCAACAGGTGAAAGGGCAACACTGTGAAGCTAGCCGCAACACTTCCATGTGAGTTTGATTCCCCGCCAGAAGGGTGACCCACATGGCACAGCAATTCATGGATCTGGCTGTTCTGCTCCCCACACTGTCTCTGGTGAATCCTCTCACCGCCCCTGTACCTCTAACCTATACACCAGTTCTATATGCATAAATAAACAAATCTTTAAAAGAAACATAAAGGAAAAGATCTCCAACTTTCTCTTGTCAATATATAAAAGTATTAACTGAATGTAGTCATAATATCAACAATGATAATAATACTTAACAGGAAAAAAAAGTGATAGGTAGGGAAACTGTAAAAATAATGTCTAAATATGTTAAGTTTTTTTTTTAACTTAAAAAAGTTAAACTAGTAGATTGCAAGAACATTAAATGACTCATTTCTCTTAGATCTTTCAAGTAGAACAAGGCATCAAAAACTTACAGGAATCCCCATATCAGTGAATTCCTCACAAGAACCTTTACAGACAACAGCAATGAGATAAGATACTTAAGCTGGTGAAAGAGAACAACTTTTTTTTAAATGAGGTATCAGAAATAGATAACATTAAATTAGTTTCAGTCGTTCAACATAATGATTGTACACTTCAATAAATCCACTCAACATCTGTCACCATATATACCTAAAATTATATTTCTGGAATGCATGCCCTGAAATGAAAAATTATGTTATCTCAGGTAACAGAGAAAACTTTAAGAGTAAGTCCATTATCCAGAGACTTCTACATGAAATGCTGATAGGAGCCCCTACACTGACTAACTAGAAGTCACAGGAACACACAAAGTTCTCCAGTAAACTTAAATATATGACCAAGTATAAAAAGTAATAATATCACTGCAATTTTGATTTCTATCCTTACTGTTTATGTTCTAGGATTTAAGTGCACATAGAATAAAGGATAATTATAAGCTAAACTAGGAGCATGCAATTATACAAGTATATTTTTTCATCAGAGCTGCAAAATGAGACAAGCAGAGCTGCAAAGGAGATTTTTCATCTTAAGTTTATGTTTTTATTGAAGTTGAATTAAATTTATCAATTAAAATAGAATGTCATAACTTTGGAATACAATATACAATCCCATGATAAGCAAAAAGAAATTATCTACTGAATATACATGAAGACAAATGAAAAAAATCAAAATGTATCACTACAAAAAAAAATCTAAATACAAGAAAATCAGTAATGGAATAAATGAAAGACAAAGAAAAGCTTTAAGACATATAGAAAAAAATGACATTAGGCAAAACATTTCCCTATTAGTATTTACTTTAAATGTAAATAAATTAAACCCAGCGATCAAGACACATCCAACCATGTGCTATGGATAAGAGCCTCAGTTTAGTTGAAAGGAAATACATGGGGTATGAGTGAATGGATGGAAAAAGAAATCCAATGCAAAAAAAGCAAACAAAAGAGATCAGGGATGCAAAGAGATTGCACATGCCTTGTAGTATCATTCAAAGTAGCCAAGATACAGAAACAACCTAAGTGCTTTTCTATGTTTTGGGGGCGGGGGGCGAAGCATAGAAAAACCAGGGTGTAGGCCAGAGTTTCAAGAGTGAGAGGAGTCACCAGAGACAGAGTGGGGAGGAGAACAGGTGGGAGGGGAACACCAGACAAGACAGGAGAGATCTGCTGGCTCATGTGGGTTAGCTCCCTGGCTGGGGATCAAAATAAGACCACAGATGTGATAACAGTAAAAGTTAACCCGCCAGGGAAGTCCAACCTAAATCTGTCTCAATGGATGAGTGGATAAAGAAAATATATTATATACATATATGTTTGTATGTATGTATCTACATATCTATCTTTATATGTACATAGAAAAGAAAATGCACATATACACACAATGGAATATTATCTAGCCATAAAAATGATGAAATTCTGCCATTTGCGGTAAAAGATAAGCCTAGTGGGCATTATGTTATGGAAAATAAGCCAGACAGAAGACAAATCTTGTACAGTATCATTCACATGCAGACTCTTAAAAACAAACCAGGCCCTCCCTGGTAGCGCAGTGGGTTAAAGCACAGCACTGAGAAGCTAAAGTCACTTCAGCATGAGTTCGATCCCTGCCCCAGGAAGTGACCACATGGCATGGCATCCATCTCCTGACCCACCCACTGCTCCCCTCAGCAATGCACTTAATTGATATGCTTGTTCTGCTCCCACTCTGTCTCTGGTGAAGCCTCTCACCACCCCTGAACCTCTGGCCTATACCCAAGTTCTGTATGCAAAAATAAAAAAAATTTAAAAAAAAGACAAACCATATTTCCTAGAAACAGAATACAGTGGTATTTTCCAGCGTCTGGGGTAAGGTACATACTGGAAATGTAGGCCTAAGGGTATAAACCTTCACTTAAAGAAACAATATGCTCTAAGGAACTAATATGTAGCATGTTTATTACAATTACCAATATGACACTGCATGCTTAAAAGCTGTTGAGAACAAATCTTAAGCATTCTCAACACACACAGTGTTAATTTTATGAGATAACATATGTGTTGATTATCTTAATCATGGAAAGTATTTCATGATGTTTATATAGATCAAGTCAACACATTGCTTTAAATATATAATTGTGTCAATTATTCTTCTAAATTTTTGAAGGGTGCATAGAGGGGGAATGAAGATACTCATGTCAGAGTTTTAAAGTTAAATGTATTTTAACAAGGAAAAATAAAAAATAGAGTTAAAATATATTACACTTAGAAGAAAACATAAGGGGAAACTTTAAGACACTGAGTCTAGTAATAGATTCTTGAGTATTATAAGCAGCATCAGAGAGGGAAGGAGAGAGAAAATAAAAAGGAGGGAGGAAAAGATGAAGAGGAGGGGAAGGAGAAAGAGAAAAAGAAGGCAAGTAGGAAAGATCAAGAGGGGAAAGGAACTAGATAGTACCTATGAAAGAAAACTGAAGAGCTGAGAAGCTTTAAGAGGAAGTGAAAATATTTGAATAAGCATGACCATGATCCAGAACAGAAGAAACAATATCACAAAATCAGTTCTCCTACATTAATTTATGTGTGCAATATAATTCTCAATTAAGAGCTCAATGAGATCTTTATCAATGGATTTGAGGTCCCTCTGCTGGTCAAGGCTGAAAATTGCAAAATAAATTTGTCTTAGCAGGATAGTTAAGTGTAAGTCACCTGAGAGGGAAAACATGTACAAGCAAAAATGAATTATATTTTTAAAATAAGGGAACATGAACGGAAGGGGGAGAGAAGTACACTGGACTATGGTGATGGCACATAGGTGATTTAGTGATGGGAAGCCCACAGGGATTACACTGAGATGGAAAAGGCACAAAATGATGTAAAACTAAACTATTACATTATTTTTTTTAAATAACATAAAAGGATAAGGGAACATGATTAAAACTGCTTGTTATAAATTAATTAAAAAGAGA